CATATTAATTTAGCCACAAATAATACAGCGACGCAATATCTAATGGCAATTATTGTATGCATACTGTTNTCTCTGTAAATCTCTATCGCGTAAGTTTAATTAAAATTAAATTAAATTTTTTAATGAAGATTTATTCATCTTATTTCAACTATAGAATTTCTTATGTGTTAGAATCTTCAATATATCTCTATAAGATGAATTTAATTTGTAATTCGATTAGATTTTATTAAAATTATAAAAAATTTAAATCGTTATAATCGCGAAAGTGATAATTCTCGATGAATAGAAGATCACTAAAATCGCGGAATCTTGTAATTTGTAAAAACACTTGTTAATATATCCTGATACAGCTTCCAGTTTGTAAAATTATCATTTACTATTTATTTCTTTGTTACGTATTGAGACTTCTCGCTCGCACTTTGTCACCTATTCGGACTTCTCGCACTTCATTTTATTATTTCAAATTCTCGACAAATAATACGCCATTATTGAAAAAACATAGTACGCAATTCTTGGAAATAAATATGTTATTCGGTAATAGATAAAATTTTTAATTTTTTTTCATGCCTTTTACAAAAAATATGTAAAAATGTATCATTTTAATATGAAGTATAGGAGTGACATATTTAGCATAATATAACATATATTTTGTGTATCAGTTGTGAAATAATCGCAATATCCTCTAGATTACTTACTATTGAAAATATGAAACTAAATATATTTTCATAGCTATATAACGCAATAATAACTATGGACAATCGAAAAGAAATCTTCATTTCTGCTCTTATAGTTATCTATCAGTTAATGATCGCATTTTACAGTAATCATTATGGACAATTAATTATTGACAGTAATCTTGGCATATTTAACGAATTGTAAGTTCAAATAATTATTATATTATTATTTATATCTTTATTGTTTAGATAACTCGTATGTTATCAATTTGATATATTAAAAAAATAACGATATTGGAATTTATTACATGATAAAATATTATCCAGATATGCTTCTACGTGGTACCGCATTCCAGTAAAAGCGCAAAAATTATTATTGCTTATGATATTGAGAACTTCAGTGGGTTGTGAATTATGTCTTTCAGGTTTATTCACTCCGTCTTATGCAGGCTTTATGTCGGTAATTTCTCTTCTTTTTTTGTTATATAACATGATTTTGAATTTCAACACTTTTAACTATTGTAATATTGTAGATGATGAGTTCGTCCTTCTCCTATTGTGCCGTTATATACTCGATCCAATAAATACCTGACATTTTACTTCAAAATATAAATATTGCAATCATGTGGTATCATTGTTATATACATAGATTTGAATTGAATATTTGTTAAATAAACACAAACAATTTGAATAAGAAAC